GTGTATCACTCGCACCGGGCTGTTAAGAGTGTTAGGGCTCGGACCGGATCTATTACTCCGACTGGCTGGACGGGATTTGGCACACAATGATCTTCACTGTTTTCTGGTGACGGCAGGTGTTCATACAAGCCGCTGCTCCTCTGTAACGCTTGATCATCGCATTCGACCCTTGTCTGCCATCTCCACGCTGTCCATAATAGTCACCGCGGGCAGGGCCCTGAGCGGAGCTCACCCTCTAGCAAGGGGCAGAGAAAACATGCCCAGTTGTGATCGCGAGTAAAGCGTACTCTGTTGACACATGAAGTATGACTATCTAGTAGATCCGAGTATGAACTAGTGTAGTGCTCGTTTCTGCCTCTGAAGGAGCAGCAACTTGCACTTAGCTCGGTACCTTCAACATATGTCTTCTACCTACGTTCTTAGTGTCCACTGCGCAAAACCTATCGTGAACAGGTTGTGAGCCCGGCGCTACGACTTCGACAAGAACAGACAACGCCAGGAAGAGACGCGACGACGAAGATCGACACAGGCGCCGCAGCAGAAGCGGAGACCCCCAAAGAGCAGTCGCAACAGGGTCGGAAACCGACCTGCTATTGGACAGGTCTGAGCAGCGCGGACTGTGCGCTGTTGGAAAATGCAGCTCGAGCTGCTATGCACATGTTTGAGCAGCTGAAAGCCGGAGGTTGTGGGCTTAAGACAACTGGAGCTTGGAGGATTGGCCGCGATCTTAGCTCGCCGGAGGCCTGAGTTGTGGGCTCAAGACAACTGCAGCTTGGAGGATCGTTTCCAGATCGAAGAAAAGCAGTTGTAGCTCACCGCAGGAGCTTGGAGAATCGCTTGAGGTATCGCAGGGAAACGATCGTGGCTCACCGACAGCCTGAAGTTGTGGGCTTAAGACAACTGGAGCTTGGAGGATGGACTGCGGATACGACAGCGCGATCTTAGCTCACCGAAAGCCTCAGTCGTGGGCTTAAGACAACTGAAGCTAGAAGAGCCGTTTGAGAGACGAAAAACGACTATAGCTTACCCGGATGGCCTGGGTTGCGGGCGGAAAAACAAATGGAGCCGTCAACGAAAGGACGACTTGAGACCGAGATCAAAGAAAAGCCGTCGGCGAAAGGACGACTTCAGAACCGAAGCCGAAGAAGCCGTCGACGAAGGAAAAGACGACATGCAGAAGACGAAAGAGCTCGCTGGAAAACAAGATGGAGACACAATCAGCAGCGACGGATGCGGCGAAGGACATCGCGAGGCGGATGGGTCCGAATTCGCCGACAAAAAAGCCTACTTCGCGAAAAGATATCAAAACGACGAAAGCTAGTCCCACCGTGGACAGAACTTCTTTCGTCGAATGGAGAAAGCAAGAGAGGCCGTCTTTGGACGGAAAGACAGCCGGATACGACAGCCCGACAAAGCAGAGAAATGAGAGGCAAGCTGCCTTCGACGGACAACAACAGACGCGACCTTCTTCCGCAAAAGGGGGAGTGATAGGGGAGCCGACGTTTACCGACGTCGGGATCGTGATTCGGCGGGATCGCGTGAAGCGTCAGATATGGATATCCCAGACAGCGTATATAACGAAAGTCCTGACCAGATTCGGAATGGAGCATACTGGCGACCCCACGAGCGACGTAAAAGCTCAACGAAGAACCGAAAAGAAGATTGCGATGCAACTAGGGCCGTTGCTCGAAGACAGCCAACACCCTGAAATTGTAATCGACGACGATAATGAGCACGATGATGCGGATGCAGAAGATGGACACCGTTTATGCTCAGACAGCAGGCGCCATGATGGATCGCACTGCTAAGAAGGACCCGGTTGCAGACACCGCTGCAACCGGTTTTAAGCTGTCTACGAAGGCATGCGACAACTCGACAAGGAAGGAGGCTGCTTGAATGTGAGCATCTCTTGTGATGAATGGACGAAGCTGTTTGGATTTCCCAAACATGTGATTGTCGTGAAAGCGATGGATCTGACGGATTGTGGAGGATTGGAAAAATAGCTCATGCTCGCATAGGGGAAGTTTTGAGGCATGAAGTATGACTCTCGAGTAGATCCGAGTATGAACTAGTGTAGTGCTCGTTTCTACCTCTTAAGGAGCAGCAAGTCGCACCTAGCTCTGTACCTTGAATATATCTCTTCTATCTACGTTCTTATTGTCTACTGCGGGAAACCTATTGTCAACATACTCGAGCCAGTCTCGGGGCGCAGTTCAAGGATGCTGGGGCAATAGGGGTGGCAGGTTGGGGTCGCCGCCATTCCATGACCAGGGAAACGTTCACTTGCATGGTCGCAGTACACTCCGATTCCAGCCCAGACCAGCCCAGCTTGAGTTCACCGGATGATCAAATTTAATGCCTACCAGATCTGTTCTAAGTTTTACGGAATGTCAGTGGGTGTGAAAGACAACCCACGGACTGAAACGTTATGAACAGCAACCTGGCGGACGCCCTCCCATGCCAAATGCTCTGGCAGCAACCCACCGAAGAAACACGACAGCCCATATCAACAAGGGGCGTTTCTGGCACAATCCAGGCGGCCTTTTCTCCAGGCGGCCTTTTCCAGTTTCGCACCGGTTCCTTGCCCACCCTCATGCGGTCGGGCGTCCTATATCCGTCACTTAGGTCTCACCCGAATCAAATCCTTTTCAACATTAAAAGTCGTCTGACTATGGTACATCGTCAACGAGCGCTGCAACTTTGCGAGGGTCCTCCACCAGGAGCTGAGGTCGCTGCCGCCCCTCGCAGCGGAGCGGCGAGCCAGGGCGTCCACTAAGAGCGCTGAAGGGGATGGTCGACGGCGCCATGTGGGAATGTGGTGGGCGTCATTCTAACCTATCTGTACCCAACATTTCTACACGCAATTCGGAAACAGCCAATTCTATCATCGGTAGGGATTTACGAACAGAGCGATTTTGAACACCACAGTTGCACCCACTTGTATGCAACCGATAATTTACACCCCGTCTTTGAACCCTCGCCACCGATATAAATGGCGGGGAACTCTCCATCCACCGCCATACAATCACAATCAATTCCATCCACCGCTACCATCACAATCAATCCAACATGGGAAAAAACCAGCGCTCCACCCCACCAGACGGTGCTGACATCGTCGTGGTCATCACCGCCCACGGTTTGATAGGTACGCAACCCTGAGTCTCGCATGATCGAAATTGAACAGTCCTAACCGCACTTGATTGCAGACCCTATGACAATCAGGGTGCCCGCCGGCGAGACACTCCAGTGGCTCTGTTACCTCCTCGCCCACGAGTTTGGCATTGTGTCCGACCACATTGTCTTCATTGATGAGGAGGGCAACAGCTTGCCCCCCATGAACCACAGAGTTGCAAACGTAAGAATCTTCCAGCTGGGATTGTAATGGACACCGGAGCTAATCGATCCAGCTATGCTATCACGGACTGCAGTACCAGCAGTTCCCTCGTGGTTGGGGATACCGCTTCGAGGCCGTGATCGACGAGTAAGCGGAGCGGAAATGCGCCGCCATGGGTTAATTTCTGCAGCACAATAATGATAAAAAATGCACTTTGCGGTGTGCTTTGTCGTCAATCGTGACCAGATTATGTTGTGACCAACAAAGTTCAGCATAGCACGCCTTCATCTATTGCACACCCCATAATCTCGAAGCGCATAAGCGAACCAGCGAGGCAGGAGGGTAATGAATGAACGGTACACGCCGCATGACGGAGCCACAATAGGGACAGGCGACTTGCCATGGCCAGCGGCCAAAGGACACCGGGAAACACAATCGCCCTCCACCTGCCACACTGCAGAATGGAAACCGGGAACTACAGGCTGCGTCAGGTGACTGCTGAATTTTGGTCGTACACAGCCAAAATTTCGCCCTTGCAACCCCCATGAAGATATAGTTCCAAGGCGGGCTCACAGATGTCGACGTGAATGTTGGCGTTCGTCGCTGTCTACACCGCGAGCAGATACTAGGAGATATTGAGTGTGAGCTACTCACAGTAAAGATTGAAGCAGATGTGCAACCCACGTCGTGTCCTCGTTCGCATATCAACAGCAACCAGTACCCCGTGCAAACAGCCCCATCGACGGACTGGCAAACTATCACGCAGGCAGCCCTGAACCTTAAAGCAAAGAGTACTTGCAACATCTCTTACCCGGCTGTGTGTGAGGCAATGAGCACCCGCGTTTCGCGCGGTATATGCTGTCCTCAATACATCAGAAATGCACTGTCCAGATCTTGAAGTCGTTGGAGAACTTGAAGTCTCTTTTCTCAAGCTTTCACAATGGATAGATCACACACGAACAGCCCGTGCACATCGCCTTAGAGAGCACAAGAAGGCACGCCGAGGGACTAGCTGCAGCTGAAGCTGCGCAGGCTGCCTTTGAGGCGCAAGCCGCAGCTGAGGCGACGGCCGAGGAAGAACCTGTAGCAATATCACTCACGACATTCCAAAGGAGTTGAATGTCGTAAGGAAGATGGTAACCTGGATCCAGCCTGTCTAGAATAATGCACTCGCTGCGCTTGAGACGTGATTCCTCAAGGGCACGACTTCGAATACCATAATACCCAGCTTGAAGCGGGGATGCCCGATAGTGGCCAAATTGACCCAAATTTGACCTGGAAACAAATGCAGTTGAGTACTTGCAGGAAGTAACAAAAGTGTTCCCCACGAACAACTGTGGGTATACCCTGAGTGCGCTCGGCGCAAAAGTTCCTCAGGGTTTGAAAGCCTGAGCCAATAGTGGGGTACTGACAAAGGGTGGAGCGTATTCTGGCAGCCTACACCGCTGGATATGTTTATGGAACACAGCACTTCGTCGATAACGTGTATACAAGTCACCGCAATCGCTCAATATCGCCTCAATTGCAGCACTCGGGGCAGAGCTCCTGCCACTAACTGTGGAGCGAGGAATCTTAGAGTATCACTTGCTCGCTTACAGCGCCGGGCAACGGATGTTTCAACCCTGGGTGTGTGTTCACGTTTTGGGAAAAAAAAAAAAAAAAAACTTGTGCAGACCGGGATTCAAACCCGGATTCGCCTATCGGACTTCAGTATCTAGCAGAACTGAAGGGCGGCAGGCTCTACCGTTGAGCTATGCGCACTTGGGATGTTATTGTGCACAGTTTAAGTGTTATGGAGACCTGAGTTATGCAGCGGCCTGGTAGACATCGGCATACCAGTATATATCTGACAGATCTGATCCGGTACCAATGCCTTCCAGGTCAGTTTCCTGCTTTGACTTTATGCCCTCGGTGTCGCCTTCATCCGGATGCTTGTGACGCTCAGCATGGCGACTATCGGCAGCACTATGGGCATCATCCTCACGTCCACACTGATCAGACTGGGTGTATCTCGTGCTGTGACCGGCCGCCCCACTCTCTATTTGCAAGGCCGCCGGGCCCTCGCTTTGCATGGCCGCCGTGCCCTGGGCATGACCATAGCTCTCTCCGGCGTCCTCAATTCTGGCGACTGAAAGAATCCTCAACCTCTCTCCGTCGATGGGCGGCATCCCTGATTGTAGAATTATCACTGATACCGTGAAGTTCCCAGTCATCGAGGCTCTTGTGATTGAGCCAGCTTTTAAGCAATCCATCTGCACTGATGGAATGTGACAGAATAGTGTTGAAGTATATGCTGTTCCTAGTAGCCAGCCCGCCCGTTGGCGGATCGAAAAATCAGCAGGGCTTTTTGGGCTGAGCGGACATCCGGCTGGCTGGCAGCTTTCCAGCGGATGCAGGATGATGCGCGATGGGAAATGGAGCAAGAGCTACATAGAAAACACTTATCAGTTTTTTTCGTTTACCACGTAACTAAGTCAAACGGATGGGTTCAACTCAGTCTTAAGTTTTGCACGACGTTTGGTACTGAGGCGTCGCCGAAAGACCAGAGATCCGTAAGGATACTGGGGGCCCCGAACAGAGAGAGAGAAGCACACGAGGAAGTTGTGGTTTATTGCCGTCTAGTCTCAAGGACGAGAGTTGGAAGGTGAGAAGCTGTGTACAAACAGTTCAACCACAAAACACTCACCAAACCTCTGAACCCCAAATCTCTTAATTCAATGGCGAGCGCCAATCACGAAAGCGCATGGCGCTTCAACATCAAGTGCTTGGCAGCCCGGCAGCGAGCCCGTCGTGGTTTGAGACAGCAGGGCTGTGGCCTTTTGGCAGCCCGCCCGCACAGCCGGGCTTTTTGGGGTGGCTATTAGGAACGCTGCGTATGTGCACTTGGGATGTTATTGTTAACATGCAAAACGTCATGCAGACCTCGAGCTCGCTGTCACCCGTCGGTCACCAGGATAAAATCTTGTCCTTCAACTTGCTGGCAGAATCCTGTTTGAAATATGTCATCGGAAACACCATACGGCGAGGTACCTCCTCCTCCAGGTTTTAATGATCATCGAAATCAACATGGTTGTAGTCGCGAGGGTTCCATTTCTACCAGGTCAACCAGCGAATGAATGTTGTAATATGAACAGGAGCAATCGGAATTATTGTTGAGAGACAGCCACGGACACCACTGTCCGAGAGCGGATGGGACAGCGATGGTGAGTCCTGTACATGTCCAAATCCTTGTTTGTAACTTGATGCGCGAGAAAGAGTATATGTGAATACCGCAGATTAATAGTAACGATACAACTCCAACAGACATTCGCTGAACGAAGTACGTGCTACCTTCCAGCGCATGCCAGAAGCAGTACATTCATACATAATGGTGAGTCCCCTGAATTCAACAATGGGTAAAGCCAACGGCTGAGGCGCACGCCGGGCAAGATACTGAGGTATACATCATGATCAGGACCCATGCACGCACAAAAAAAAAAAAGAGATGCCCACACCGGGATTCGAACCCGGATTCGCCTATCGGACTCCAGTATCTTTGGAAGGCACTGAAGGGCGGCACGCTCTACCGTTGGGCTATGCGGACTTGGGATGTTGTGAAGCACATTCAATTCCTCATGTAGATCAGGTTCGCTGTACCCCTTCGGTCCGCAGGATGGGATCTTGTCATTCTGCTGAATTGCTGGATTCTATTTCGAATATACCAGCCGACACGCTGTATAAGGCAGTACCCTCTCCGCCACGTTCTCGTAATATTTAAAACATTCATTGTAGCCACGATATATGCCTGGGTGATGACAAAATACAGTCACAGGAAAACCAGAATGGGGTCCGCGCTCCGCGGTCAAATGATCCCTGGCGACAACGACAACCCCGCGACCGTTCGCCACTTGTGCTAGGACAAGCTACAAAGACCAAAGGAAATTCTCAATCCAAGACAACACGTCATAAATATGAATCTACAAACTTCCCAGCCAGCCACACTCACTGCCTGTCCGCTGATACTCTGTGTATCAACGTCTATCAGCAACAGCGCTGCCAACCGACATGGTAGTCACTACCTCGTTGCCACATTTTCTAAAGAGGCGTCGCCCATCACGCTTCCCCCTATATTGGTGGTCTCCAAGAGATTTTGTGGTTTTTGTACCCAATATTGGTGGTCTCCAAGAGATTTTGTGGTTTTTGTACAGTTGGGGAACTTGGGTGAAGAGATGCGCCCGGTTATTGATGCCTTGCAACGAGAAAACAATGGACGCCAAAACACCAGGACGCCAGAACCAGTGTTCCTAATGGCCAGCTCAAAAAGCCGGGCGCGTTGGGCGCGCTGCTTCAGAGCAACAGCTAGGCGGTTCCTCTAATTAGCTGGGCTGTTGAAAAATAACGACGGGCGGGCTGACGGGCTGCTTAAGGAATGAGTGACACCAAGTGAGTCACGTACAGCTCCGATGGCTTAGGCAATACCTCAGGCTGCTAAATCAAGGCCACTCAACCTCACCATGCCAAATAATAACCCCAGTACGCCGCACTGTAATGCCGCGGACTCCGTTGAGGCCGAGACGGCAACAAATACCCAGGCAACAGCTGCGGCTGAACCAACGGAAAGCCGAGGATCAAGAAAGCGGCTACTCACATCTCATATTGTTCTACATGGGGTGAAAATAAAGAGAGGCAAGGAGGAATGGTGGCGTTGTTCGGAATGTCCGTCGCTAGAAGATGACGAAAAAAATGGAGTAAGACTACCACGTGAATACAAAATTACCGGCTGCTCCACAGACAAGCCTACTCGTCATTTGCATGAAGTCCATGGAATTGGAAAGCAGGGAAAACTCCTAGAGCGTGCCGAGTTAAAACAGAAACCCTCAAACCGTGAGCAGAATTCTCAGCTCCCCATTTTCAAAGGGCTCCTGTATACCTGGATTGTGTGCGCTCACGTTGCTTTTCATCAAATAGAGAACGTACATTTTCGGAACCTTCCCTATTACTTGAATTCTCGAGTTCAGGATCTTCTTCCGGAAAGTCCTGATACTGTCCGCAATTGAGTGATGGAACTCTACCAGATGCCGTGCGAAGAGTTGACGGCCGCTTTGCGAGACTCTCAGTTTCGGATACATTGTAACGTTGAGTTGTGGACATCGTCTTACAACAAGCCAATTCTTGGAATAGTCGCTCATTGGATGGATAACAATTTTGAAAAGCACAACACTCTATTGGGGATGCGAGAGATCGATGGTTTTCACAGTGGAGCCAACATTGAAGCAACGCTGTTGTCAATGCTTAAACAATTAGGATTGGATCATAGTACAAAGCTAAGATACTCTATGCTTGACAACACCTCCTCGAACACTACGGCACTTACAACTCTAGAGCACCGCTTGGAACATTCACATCCCAGCCATTTAACCTCTTGTTTTGTGGCAGCAGAACAAAGGCTTTATTGTTTCGGCCACATTTTAAATCTAGTTGCAAGACGGATCCTCTATGGCACCGCCGTGAATATTCAACTTGGAGATGATACAATGACTGACGAAGAAGAAACTCTAGCCATTCAACAGGAAAAGAAACGGATTGAGGAGTGGCGTGAGCTTGGCCCATTGGGTAAGCTGCGCAACATAGTAACCTACGTTCGAGGTTCACCGCAGCAAAATTCAGAGATTCCTTGCAATTCATACCACAGAAGATGCAAATCAAACCACCAATGCAGCGGACTTGCTCTTGGTGGCAAAAAACAACACGCGGTGGAATGCCACGTTTGCTATGATAGAGTGAGGAATCAAACTTAAAGACAACGTCAACTTCTTTGTTACTGCCACTACAGAATTACAAGAGGATACACTAGACGCCACAAACTGGACAGTTTTAAAGGAAATCATGTTAATCTTGCGTCCATTTGAGCAAACGACGAAGGCACTAGAAGGGCATGCAGAGAATGGCCAACATGAAACCATTGGGGAAGTTTTACAAGCATTGCTTGGCTTGAAATCACATCTGGTTAGCTGCTATAATCAGCTCAAAGGTCGTCAAGAAAAAGGTAAAGAGGAACATCTTACAACCGCTTTTCATACTCTGGAGACCTCCATTAACAATGGCCTGGACCACATTGATAAATATATTGCAATCACTGCTGAAATTCCCTTGTATCTTGCAGCCGTCGTTCTGGATCCGCGCTTGAAATGAGAGAGTTTGAAAAATATGGCAAAGCGTGAGCACCCAACAACCTCAGGCTTCACTGAGTGAGTCCAGAATGCCAAGTTTCTAGTCCAAAGCCTCTGGGAGCAGCAGTACAAAGGTGAGGGCAATGAGATTGCAAACCCAATAAGGAGTGAGACATCAAGCGATTTTCTCCAAGCCCTTATCATGGAGGTTGTTCGGGCCCCACCACCTACACCTTTCCGTCAAAAAGCCCGATTAAGCGTCAAAGGAAAATGACGACGAGGACAGAGTGGACGTCAAACCAAATCGAGAACTGGTCTAAGTGCAGGCACAGTGGAGGTGGTTGATGAAGTTGCCCTTGATGAATATCACCGCTGGCTGAAAGAGGCTCAGGATGCCACAGTTACTGACCTCATTGGATACTGGCAGCTCAAGCAGACGTCATATCCAAGGCTTGCTTTGATGACGTTGGAAATCTTGACCATTCCAGCAATGTCAGCGGAAGTTGAGCGGGTCTTTTCAAGTGCCAAACAGACAATCACTGACCGCCGCGCCCGCCTCAAAGTAGACATCATCGAAGCATGCGAATGTTTCAACCACTGGGAAGCTGCTGG